GAATATGATAACATAAAATTAGACATTCTGTGTAATCAGTTGTGTGCTGTATTGTGTATATTCTTACATAAAGTTAGCATACACAGTACAACTTTAATAGCACTTATACAACCATTATGATTTTCAAATAAAATCCAGCCAGAATATCCAGTAAAAATGCTCCAGACAGCCGGAGACAAGCACATCTATCTGCCAACTTCTTTCTGAAATGCTTTTGTCAGCTTAGGGAACAGAGAGGTACTATCAGGAAGTCTGAAAGTCTGAGAATCCTATGACTCATTTGCATAGGAAACTAACATCCTAAGGTATGCTAGGAATGAGCATTAATTATTAGAAAAGGATATACTCTCCTGGTGCATTTTGATGGCAGACAATGGCAGGTTTGAATATTCCAAAATGCAAACCAGAGAAAGAGGTACCTGTTCCCTCTTTGAAATGTTCCTGCAATTTGGCATGGGCATCCATTGTTTATTGTGCACTCTGTTGGAAATCCATGGCTGTCGCTTTCACTTATGCTTATTTTCAGCACTCAGGCAACACCGTATGAGAGTAAACATTTTGTATTTGCAAATGGAATCCGGTTTTGCCTTTTGTTTTTCCTTGTCAACACAGCAGCTCTAAATTAATCCGGTCTATTCCAAGCCAAGCAAAAGAAGTGGAGTGTGATGTTCTTTAAGGTTCAGCACAAGTTGTAAACAACTCCTGAAGGTCATCTACAGTTCATCTGCCTTTCTTCTTCCCTAACACATTTAGACACTGTTTCTAGCAAATTTTCTGTTTTTCAGTGGCTAAAGATATTTTTGGTTTGAAGCACCACCTGCTTTGCTCCACTCCAATTCCAAAGAACTGGCGACACATGTCACCAGATCCTCCTCTTATTATATCTGTAGTCAAGGAGCTTCTGGGCACACACATCTTCAGAGGGAAGAAATATCCCTGACTTTGAAAGAGTAACTTCAAGTTGCCATTTCATTTATTTGTAGTAGTATCATACAAAAGGGACGTGGTGGCGCTGCGGGCTAAACTGCTGAAGCTTGTGCTGCAGGGTCAGAAGACCGGCAGTTGTAAGATCGAATCCACACGACGGAGTGAGCGCCTGTCGCTTGTCCCAGCTCCCGCCAACCTAGTGGTTCGAAAGCATGCAAATGCAAGTAGATAAATAGGGACCACCTCGGTGGGAAGGTAACAGCGTTCCGTGTCTAAGTCGCACTGGCCATGTGACCACGGAAGATTGTCTTTGGACAAAACGCTGGCTCTATGGCTTAGAAACGGGGATGAGCACCGCCCCCTAGAGTCTGGACAAAAATTGTCAAGGGGAACCTTTACCTTTATCATAGTAATGTGAGTCACAGACCATTTCAGTGGTATGTTTATCTTTACCCTGCTCAGCTATGTCATGTTGGGAACTGAGAAGCATCTTAAAGATACAAAAGAAGTCGGGAATAAAGGAGAGCGAGCTAGCAGCTGTCATTGCTGCTGGTTGTGAATGATGAGAATATGTAGGCCAACACATCTGGAGAGTGTCAGTTTGGCTAAGGCTACCTCAAAGGAACTCTAAATTGCAAGTGTGCTTGAACATATAAAACGTCCTGGGTCTATGTTTTTTTTTAATCCACAAAAGATTTCCATCACCTGCTGTGTTGTGTGTGGTGTGTCTATGCCCTTCAAGTCTGGTTTCTTATTAGGGCCTGGAATTCTTAAGAGGCTCAAAAAGTAGGCTCTGTACTTTGCCCTCAACCTGCTTAGTTTTCTTTCAATGGACCAAAGGGAAAGATTGTCTCCAAGATGTTGTACAGTAGTCAGCTATTGAAAACAGGAACACTAGTTTGTGCTCCCATTGGTCATCATTAGTCATTACCCTCATAGTGGGTGAATTCTGGAAGTTGCAGTCTAAACAGTAATATTCCCAAGCTCAGGTCAATTCATCAAACTACACAATGACTGCTTTATGCATTCCATAGTGCTACTCTCCTTTTCTACCATCCCCATGCCTCTGTTAAAAGAGGGGATGAAAAGTAGCCAACAGCAGTCAACAGTAAATGAATTAATCTTACTCCTGCCCCAGATGCAGAAGAGTATACTTCTTCTCATCATTGATTAAGGGCCTGCTTAAAGCTACAGTCAAATCAGTGCTGTGAGACACATGTTTAACTGCTTTAGTGGTTGGCTATTAGCAAACCTGTTCATCAACCATGCAGTCATTACAAGCAAAAAGCCCTTGAACACAATCTCAAAGTATCTTGGACTAAATCACTAACTAACAGCAGTTATAAACATCTAAGTAATACAGTATAAGCTAGTTCTGATTCACTGCTGAGCTGGAAGAATTATTTAGGTGTTCAGCAACTGTGATACACATGCCTGTAAAACTTCTGTAACATCTCAGTTTTGTCCTCATACCTTTCTTCAACATATGTAAAATTGAAATAAGAAAAAATAAAGAGGAGTAGGACAGGCTGATGTGGAGGCAGTGCTCTTGAAGCAATGGACTGTGTGTAGATACTGTCAGGAAGGAGGGAGAGTTTAATCCCCTTTATCCAAAGATCCCATCTGTTGTAAAAATTACAAACCCCAGGTCCCCCTCCACTTTCTATGTGTTTAAGCACATATGTCAATTGGGAGATGGGGGGAACTACCTACTTCCTATGTAAGTTGGTTCTTAGCTGCAAAGATAGAATTACAAAAGGCGACTTAGAACTTTGATCTGGGCTCTGCCAAAAGCAAAACTGATGTAAGTCCAGGCCTAGGTTGGCTTTATATAAAGTGCAGTACAACTGCATTGATTATTACCCTAAAACCACCCATGAAGGTTTGCACTGCAATGAAAGTTGCCATGCAGTCCTACACTGTTGGAAAATTTGAGCAGTTACAATAAAGCCTGATGTTTCATGGGTGCATGTGAATCCACCCTTCTGTAGTTAATGACATCTTTACTAAGCAAGGGAGAGGAGAACCACCTAGAATTACCATTCTGTTGAAAGCGCAGTTGTGTCATTGACTTTTTAAAATGTTATGGGTCTCAGTCAGTGATTCTGAAAGCTGATTCCCCCCCACCCCTCAAGGGAAAGATGCAAGATACAACAAAAAAGGGAGGGGGGAAAAAGTCAGTTTGGTGTTCAAACACATTTTGGCTAGACTGGATTTCTTAAAAAAAAAAATACAAATTTGTTATATTGCCAACCCCTAAAAATCCAGGCTGTTTAGAGACACTGCCAAACAAACGTCCTGACTGAAAAAGGGGGCAGGGAGGGAGGAAGCAAGAGCCAGGGGAAGATTGAGGCCCTTATTATCCAGCAATCTTCCTGATGCCAAGATGAGGGTTCACATCCTAAGGGAAGACAGAACAGAAACTTGGTCTGCTCCATAGCCAAACATGGTGAGTGGCTTCAGACAGATTATCATTTGCCAGCAGGCAGTTGGGCAAGCCAGTGATTAAAAAGGCTGTACCACCTGCACGACGGTGGTATAGCAGGGCCTTGCGACAGGTCACACAAGGGGAAAAGCAGCTGAACCGACTGAAGTGCCCACTCACTCTCTTTTGGCATGACTTTATTCATGGCTTCCTACAATATGGGTCCACTAAAATGGAGTTTCAACTGTTTTTAATTAATTAATGGATTATTAATTTTAATTGCTGCTTAATTACTTTTCAATCTGTAATTTATTATGGTTTTAGTATTACCTGTTTTAACACTGTGAGCTGCCTTGGGCCCCCTCACTGGGAGCAAGGTGGCCTACAAATGATACTAACTAACTAACTAACTAACTAACTAACTAACTAAATTAATAAGGGCTCAGCAATTCCCAGCAGTGCATTCTGTTTAAGACAGAGACTGACAAACCTAATGCAGAATTCCTTTGAAATTCACCACACATTTCAAATAATAATCTTTTTTAGCTAATGGCAGTGAATCTATGATGAACATCATTACTTTTTAGGTGTAACAAATAACACCTAAGATACTTATCTGCAGGGCTGTGCAAATCTGTGGTTCTGAATGACAGTTCTCAGCAGCCAGGCTGCTTGGGAAAACCTAGGCACTGTGGTCCTAAACCACAAATCTGCACTGCTCCATGGAGGTGTAATGAATTGTTAGGTGTAAAAAAACCTAGGTGTAACAAAACTAGTTCACAGAGGTGCACAGGTGCAACAAAACTAGGTGAAATAAACTATGATGGTGATGGTGGTTATGATGATTTGCTGTCAAGCCAATTCTGTGTTATGGCAATCCTTTCCAGTGTTTTCTGGATATAGAGTACTCGGATGTTGTTTACCATTCCCTTTTTCTGGGGGTGATTTGAGAATATGCAGCTTGCCCTTCTCCCTGGAAGGGCAAGCTGCATATTCAGTTAGGTATCCAGTGCCAGATAACCAACTCACTGAGCTATTAAGTCAGCTCCATTAAAGACCCAGTTGCTTTCAAACATTACTTTCTAATAACATTGTAAGGCATTTTACACACTTCCTGACAAGAATTTTGCAGGTTTTATGCCATTTTCTTATCACTCCTAAGTGACACTATGCTTTGGTTTTATCTTTTTTATTTTTATCAATATTTCTAAGGTGCACTATCTCAGTTGAGCGCCAAGGGGCACCAGAGAGTATTTCCTTATATTTTCCTGGCTTGCAAGGACTGACAAGACAATGCACTAAGGCGATGCAAAACAGTGCATAACAAGCAATTAGAACAAAGGCAGTGATTATGGCAGCTTCTCTGCTGAGAAAGAATCAATATACAGTAACTTGGGCATGTATATGTATATCTGCATTTATTGACAGAGATGCATACACATTTGCACAACACAAACTCCAACTGGCCTTTATTAACCCATGACTACAATATAAATATTCTACACAAATACAATACTGTACTTTTGTGTCTTTGTGTGTGTGTGTTAAAGACAAAGAAAAGCACTTAGCACACATACCTATTTTGGGGACAGGGTAGTTGGGAGGAAGGAATTAATATAAAAAATAATAAAGATTTTCAGACACTTACCTCAATTTTTTGATGAGCAGCTCTCTGAATCAAGTGTCAATATTTTTGCTTCTTTTGTCATCTGTATTTTGGCATGTAGCTGATTTTTCTTCTCTAGTCTTCAGTGTTTTTACAGCAGTTGTTAAACTACAGAAACTATAGTTCTTGAAGTTCTTATCTTGGGGGGGATGGACAAAATAAAAGAAACTGAAAACAATGCTACAATGAATGGTAACAAATGATGAAAAAGGTCTAGAGCACAAAGAACAATGTGAAAAGGAAGACAAGTTTAAATATTGTTGTGTAAGAAAGGGAGGAAAATAATACAAGGATGAGAATAAGTAAAATGATAGGCTGGAACATCTGGGAAAGTAAATATAAAGACAAGATAAAGCCTTGTTAATGGAACATCAAACTTATCTTTTCAAGAGGAAAAACAGACATATTGAGGCCTTGTCTTCAAAAGCATGCTATACTGGGTCTAACTGAGTTTTTTGCACAGGGGTTGCAGAATTTTTGCACAGTTGTTGGACTCACTTCACCGATACTCACTTTAGCCAACAGTAAAGGATGATGGGATGTGTAGAACAATTACACCTGAAGGACTGTATACGTGCCCCTCATCCCTGCTTTAGTGGACCAGAATCTCCACAGAAATAATGCCATTCCTTCCCCTGTCTAACAAAACCTCACAGATAGATATTTACAGGTGCACTTTGATGGAAGTTAGACTTACCTAGACTGGAACTTTTTGGCAGGAAAATGTTTTCGGACTGTTGGGATGGGTATGTGTCTGCAATCTGGCACTGAGCATGTGATGCAACAGGTCACCTTAGATACCAGAATCTCCACAGAAATAATGCCATTCCTTCCCCTGTCTAACAAAACCTCACAGATAGATATTTACAGGTGCACTTTGATGGAAGTTAGACTTACCTAGACTGGAACTTTTTGGCAGGAAAATGTTTTCGGACTGTTGGGATGGGTATGTGTCTGCAATCTGGCACTGAGCATGTGATGCAACAGGTCACCTTAGATATATGCATGCACTGAGCATGTGATGCAACAGGTCACCTTGGATATATGCATGCATATGTCTGTATTTCCATCTTTGACTGTATCTCCTTCCCCCTCCCTCTTTTCCCCCCTTTATTTCTTGCTTTTTCGGAAACACTCCCCCACTCCCCAACAGCCTCCAATTTCTTTTGGATTATTTTTACTGCTGCCTGGCCTGCCTGGACCAGCATGAATTCTGGGGATTATTTGTTGCATCTACCTTCCCAATTTTGGGGGTTTTTGATTTTGGTTTTTTTGGCCCTTTACTTTCTTATATCATGTTTGCTACTGCTCATGCTTAGGCCTCCTGCTGATGCCTGCTGGACTCAAAGAAGAGACGACATCAAGCTGAAGGGAACAGAAATCTTTTCATATTCTAGTAGTTTTTGGGTTGGGGTAGTTTTAATTGTATTTTTGCCCCTACTTACTGCTTTCCTTGTTTTTTGGAAGGAAACTATGTGTTTCCTTTAGTTTGCTATAGATATTTCTCTGCCTGCAAACATTTCTTGATTAATGTATAGTTGAAGGCTTTCAGGGCGGGGATCCGATGGTTGTTGTAGGTTTTTTGGGCTGCTTAGCCATGTTCTGCAGGTTTTTCTTCCTAATGTTTCACCAGTTTCTGTGGCCAGCATCTTCAGAGGACAGAACTCTGCCTGTCTTCAGAACACAGAGTTCTAACTCCTATCCTCTGAAGATGTGAAGATGCTGGCCATGGAGACTAGTGAAACGTTAGGAAGAGAAACCTCCAGACATGGCCAAACAGCCCAAAAAACCTACAACAACAATTTCTTGATTACTCCTTTGTTCTTTGGTTGACTTTATACTGGAAGGCTTTCTGAGCCTCAATCTCACAAGCACTTTTTTTTAGCAAGGGCCATATTTTGCATGAAACAAAAGCTGAAGAAGAAGCAGTAATGGTTATGCCCACCGATTCACAACTCAAGGCAATACACCTTTGAATTATACCTTTGAATACACCTTAGAATTATTACACCACTTACCAATTACTTGTTCTTATTCAACTGATGCAATTGCTTTATCTCCCAATTCTTAATTACTCAGTTAAAAAAAAAAACAAAACTAAATAGTGTTTTGCTATTATAGCTGCAGTTTTTAAGGCCTCAGGCAAGATACCTTCTCTGCTCCCTTTCATTGTAGGACTCTGTCCTTCTTGCTGCCAGGTACTGATATTATGCTTTCTCACAAGCTTACTGCCTACGTTGATTGCTGACAAGAAAAGGAGATGACAAGGAAAGGTCAGCATACCCTTTTTCTTGCTACTGTCATTGGTTCCATCTGTGCCAGAGGAAGAAATGCAGGAGCACAGGTGAAATTGGTCAAATTGCCCAATTTGCTACCATGCCAGATTTAAAGTTTCTATACTGGGTTATGAAGCCCTGTAGAGGTTGGAATCAGGGTCCTAGAGGAACTGTTTATTCCAAGAGAGACCTATCCAAACACTGCAGTCATCTTCAGAGATTCTCCTGGTTGTACCACACCTTCAAGAGGTTCGCCTGGCAATAGCTCCAAAGAACTGCATTTTAATAACAATGGCTGTGTTCCTGAACAGCTTTCAGAGGTAAAGGATACAACACATAGGCCCTAGCAGCTGCCCAACCATGCTAACATCTGGTGTCAGCCCAGTGCTGCTATCTGACTCCCAAATCAGGATAACATTGCAAACCACAGTGTTGGAAACTGAAGTGCAAACATGAAGCCTCTTAAGAAAATGGGAATCAGATATCCGCACTGCATCTTGGGCTGAAACGTTTTACTTAAATAGCTATCCCCATAAAAATCTACCTGACTCACTGACAAAGGTTCATCTGTGCTTCCATCATCTGCAGACTTTGGAACTTCCAGTCTGTCAATAAAGGCTTGGAGCTCTTTCCTAAATGCCTTCATCTGGGCATTTATCCGATAAAGAAGTTCATGCTCTCGTATCCTACTGCCATCATCTTCATCTTCCATAATTCCAAACAAGTCTCCATTGGCCACAAAAATTCTCGCCTCTGCTATGATGGTGCTCGTGTCTGAAATCAGGCGGTCTATTGTCTTGCTCAGGCGTTCTGCTTCACATCGGATATCCTTCATTTGCTGCCGGTCTGTGAAGCTTTTCTGCCACCCTGCCTGCGTTGGGTAGAAGGACCTGGTAGGCGTCAAACAGCGGATGTTGCGGACCTCCTCTGAGTCACTTTCCCCACCAATGGGCCCTTCTCTTTTGCGGTGTGGGGGCCGAGAATCTTCATCACTTTCTTTCTTTCCTGCATCACTTTCTGCATCACTATCCCTGGGACTGCCTCGGATTCCGAGATGAGACGCCAGATCATAGCGCTGCATGTTGGACATGAGGATCCTGTTTTCATACTGCAATTGCATGACTTTGCCACTGAGCTCGTTGATCTGCATGCGAGCAGCTTTGAGTTCTTCTTGCAATGCTTCCATCTTGACACTGTCGTGATGCCTTGAACTGTCATGAGCTGTAGCTGTCTTATATTTATATTTGTTCAGTTCTGTTGTGATGCGCTTGTTTTGTTCCTCAGCATCCGCCAAGTTTCTCCTCAACAGTTCTGTTTCATCTTCAACCAGCTGCAGGTGCTGTCGTAATTCTGACAGAGACTCATTCTGCTCTCCCAGGAGGGGATTAGCTGTCCCTGAGAATTCATCTCCTCTTAGGTCATCAAGCTCTGCCTTCAGCCCTCTGTTTTCAACTTCCAGCTCTACAATTTTCCTGCCTAGAATATTGGCTTCTTCTTCTACTAACCTCAGACGAAGCTTGAGTTCTGCTTCTCTTGTGGTAGGTGGACCTCCAGCTTCCCCTTTTGGCAAAGGGCTGTCCAGATCACCATAAAATGATCTATACTTTTGCAGCTCATGTTCAAATCTGTCCTTTTCCTTGTCTGTTTTGGCCAACTTTTTCCTCATCAAGGCAGACTCTTCTTTGGCAAACTGCAACTGGCATTTCAAATCTTCACTGTCCTCCTTTGAAAAGGAAAGAATGACAGCGTTTTAAGATATCAGTAAGAATACCTGACAGTTCAAAAAAAAAAAAGCAAGCAAGCAAGCACTAAAACACTGAACTGTAGAATACTGGCCTCAATACACTCCACTAAATTCAGCGTAAGGTATTCTACATGATCCATTTACTAAACACCGTATATATATATATATTCGGTGTTCAATGTATGGTATATGATATCTCTGCAGCACTACAAAAGCAGAATCTACAGAAAGTTCTGGTGGAAAACGTATTTTTAATATTATTGTGTATCCTGAATCATAATAGCTCAAGTCAATTCACAAGCATTTTCTGAAAAGCAAATAGACATAATCTGGAACTCTGCTTTTCAGCAAGAGCCATTTCACAAGTTACAGAAACACAAAGCCAGATTTGTCATAGGCACCCATGGGATGCTAAATAGTGGTCCTCCAGAACAGACATACTGAAGTTAGCTGCTGTGACACAGTGGCTGAAACCATTTGTGTAATTATGCAGGTGTAAATTTGACATCATCAGCCTGTGATGTCAGACTTTACTTTTATTGAAGCTACCTATCTTCCCTTAGGTTCCAAGTCTTGTAGATATCCCTTTTGACTTGGGAAAGTGTTTGGGAGTTTTGGGGTGGTTAATGGAAGCTTTTAATATCCAAAACCTGCTGCCAGATTGGCTTCAGTGGTCTGGCAGCAATTTTTTGCTGTTAAAGGCTCTCCCACAACTCCGTGGCTGACAAAGGCTTTTCCAGATCACAAGAGATTCAGGGAATCTCATAGCATGGTGGGAGGCAGAACAGAAAGCTTCACATTAAATTAAATATTAATGGTGACATTGGCCTGCAATAGTCTAATTCAATTTAATTGATAAATAGGAAACATTTAATTTTAATCATTAAATTAAATTAAAGGGTAATGTCATGGGCACATGACATCATCACCATTTATGCCCATGTATTCATGCCAACAGGATTTCAGCCATTATGTTGAAAATGTATGAATCAAACCTAGCCCTATTCAGGTTTTTGGTTATCGGATAAGCATCCCTTTAGAGCAACAAGAACTGTGGTGAAGACAGCAGAGCTAATGTGTTTATGTTCATCCTCTCATTTGTTATTCAGATGCCTGAAAAAAAAAGCTGCTGAATTTGGCTATTAGAAATGCCTGAGATTCTGACCAAGAGATTCTAACTGTTGGCATTGTCAAGAGAGAAAAAGTGTTGCCACTGGGCTGCACAGCAGATGGTTGGGAGTCTAATTCTCTCAGTGCCTCCTTGGAGAAGATGTAGTCTGCACAGCCCTGGGCAAACTACACAGTTCCCCAGCATCACCAGAAGATGCTGGTAAACCCCTTCTAAGTACCTTATATCTGGATGACTCTGGAAAGGGTGTTCACAAGTTGGAATTAACTTGATGACATGTAATTATTATTACTGATCACGTGACATATTTTCAAAATAATATCATAACGGAACACTGTTCCGTAGCACAACCTTTAAATCTTGAGAGTACAGATGCCAAGAATCCTCCTGTAATTAAACACCAATATGCAAATAGATGGCTAGGGAGGGTAAAATTAACACAGGTTTTATTAGCTCAGAACATTGTTATATTCATTGTGTATGTGCTTTCTGTGCCATCAAGTCGGAACCAACTTATCGTGACCCTAATAGGACTTTCAAGGTAAGTGAGATATTGAAAGCCTGGATTGACAAGTTCCACTTCCCCAGTGAGTTTCCATGACTGAATGGGGATTTGAACTCTGTTCTCCAGAGTCCTAGACCATCACTTTATCCACTACACCAGATTGGGAATCCATCATATTCATTACAGCATCTTTATCCACTACACCACATTGGGAATCCATCATATTCATTACAGCACCTTTAAACATTTGAGACATGTAGTAAATGAGTTGGGGGGGGGGACAAAAAAAAAGCCATGGCTTTTCCACTGTTGACTGAGAAACAGTTTGTACTTATGAACTTATGAATCAACTGCCAGACAGTTTACTGCAGAGGTAAAGAAAACACGGTGCTCCAGAAATTCCTGGACTACAGCTCCCATCATCCCTCATCACGGGCTAGGCTAATTTGAGCTGATGGACGTTGCATTGCAAAACTGGGATGGGATTGGGAGGCCACGTTTTATGGTGGTCCCGCTCCTACCTGGCTGATCAGGTCCAGAACGTGGTGCCGGGGGACAGTTGCTAGATCTCATGGCATTTATATCACGGGGTTCCTCAGGGTTCTATACTGTCCCCCATGCTATTCAATATCTACATGAAACCACTGGGGGAAGAGGTTTGGGCTGAGGAGTCAGCAATATGCTGATGACACGGAGCTCTACCTCTCATGCTGCTGAGGAGTCAGCAATATGCTGATGAAACGGAGCTCTACCCCTCATTCTCTACTAATCCAAGTGTGGCAGTCACCGTTCTGAACTCATGCCTGGACTCGATAATGGACTGGATGAGGGTTAATAAACTAAGGCTCAATTGAGACAAGTTGGAGGTTCTGCTGGTAGGTGCTCTGCCAGATAGGTTAAAGGGCCATTTTCCTGCCCTAGATGTGGTTGCAGTCCCCCTAAAGAACAGGGTCTGCAGTCTGTGGGTGCTCCTTGACCCAGGTCTGACCTTGGAAGCCCCTGTGGACTTGGTGTCCAGGGGTGACTTCTTACAGTTGCAGAGAATACGTCACCTTTGATCTTACCTGGATGAGCGGAGCCTGGCAACAGACACACATGCATTGGTAACAACCAGACTGGACCATTGCAATGCGCTATACGTGGGGCAGCCTTTGAAGACAGTCCATCGACTACAACTGGCACAGAACCAGGCTGCGCGGCTGGTAAGTGGTGCTACCGTGTGGATTCATATCACACCGGTTCTGAAAAATGTACACTGGCTGCCAGTTGCTGCTCCGGCCCAATTCAAAGTGGTTACTCTGACATATAAACCAGGTCCTAAGCCTAAACAGCTTAGGACCTGGTTGCCTAAAGAACCACCTTCTTCCATACAAGCCTGCCCGTCCTCTAAGATCAGGCCATGAGGCCCTTCTGAAGGTGCCATCCTTGAAAGAGGTGAGGGGGATGGCATGTCGAAATAAGGTCTTCTCGGCTGTTGCCCCCCCAACTTTGGAACATCCTCCCTATAGAGATCTGCCTGGCTCTGACACTTTTGGCTTTTCGGGGCTTAGCCAGCATTTTAATTAAATAGTATACTTTAGCTGGCTGTATGAGCAGGAGGATTTATTAATGATAAATTAACTGTTTTAATATTGAGTATTATTTATAACGTTATTGGGCATTATTTATAACACTGCTGTACGCCGCTGAGAGACCATTGATAATGGTGTGGCTAAAAATCTTGTAAATAAATAAATAAATAAATAAATAAATAAATATCTCAAGGACTGCAAATGGCCAAACCCTAGTTTACCAAATTGTGCCACAGGATGGACAGAAGTATTTGAGCTCACTTCAGTGGGTGTCTGCTGTGACTTTTTTTCAGATTTCTGCAAGTCTTTGCTTCCTCTTCTTTTCATAGATTGCTGTAAAAGAAATACATAATAAATATTTTATTAATGGATGTGCATTTAAAACCCTTCATCATCATCATCATCATCATCAACAACAACAACAACAAAACCAAAGGATGCATTTGAAAAGTGGCTTTTCTCCCAGAAAACAACTGTTTTTAATCAAACTTCAGAAATTTGTATGTAAATTTTCAATTTGTAAAGGGGCCAAAATGTATTTAGCAGCAAATATTGTTCATTTGGTTTAGTACCTTAAGTGCTACCAAAAAGTATTTTAGTTTTTGAAAGATTGGTGTTTATGAGTCATTCTTAGGCACTGCATTGTGGAAGCTCCAATGGGAAAGAAACTGATTAGCTTAAACTACTATACTGTAAAGTTCCCACCCACATTTTTCCCATCATGGGAATCCTCATTTTCTGGTTTTGATGCACATATACAGTGTTGATGCATTGCCCTTTAAAAGGTTTTAGAGATACATACACTGGCTCCTTTTCTGGCCACAACAATGTCAGAGGTGATTCTAGCATCAGCAACATTTGTGCAGCCATCACCTCAGTAAAAATGCAAATGCATAAAATCTCTTAAACTAACATTGACCTTAAAGATTACAATACAGATCCTGCAACCAGCCATATTCTAAGCTACATATCAATTTAGAGGTCAAGACCACCACTAAGAATTATGTTTTAAAATGAACTGGGATTTGTAGATGAAGTGGCAAACTGTTGTGTACGTTCAGTTCCAGGTAGCAATTATTGCTGTCGTATTTTGAATTATGAAGACTGACAACACCTTCTAGAAATAACACCAAAGAAAGATGTTCTTCTCATTATAGGGGATTGGAATGCAAATGTAGGGAGTTAAGAGATAAAAGGAACAACAGGTAAGTTTGGCCTTGGAGTTCAAAATGAAGCAGGGCAAAGGCTAATAGAGTTTTGTCAAGAGAACAAGCTGGTCATCACAAACACTCTTTTCTAACAACACAAGAGGCGACTCTACACATGGACATTACCAGATGGGCAATACTGAAATCAGATGGATTATATTCTCTGCAGCCAAAGATGGAGAAGCTCTATACAGTCAGCAAAAACAAGACCTAGAGCTGACTGCGGCTCTGATCATCAGCTTCTCATAGCAAAATTCAAGCTTAAACTGAAGAGAATAGGAAAAAACACTGGGCTAGTCAGGTATAATCTAAACCACATATCTTATGAATACACAGTGGAAGTGACGAACAGATTTAAGGAATTAGATTTGGTGGACAGAGTGCCTGAAGAACTATGGATGGAGGCTCGTAACATTGTACAGGAAGCAACAACAAAAACAATCCCAAAGAAAAGGAAATGCAAGAAAGCAAAGTGGCAGTCCAATGAGGCCTTACAAATAGCAGAGAAGAGAAGGGACATAAAATGCAAGGGAGATAGGGAGAGGTACAGAATATTGAATGCAGGCTTCCAAAGAATAGCAAGGAGAGACAAGAGGGCCTTCTTAAATGAACAATGCAAAGAAATAGAGGAAAATAATAGAAAAGGAAAAACCAGAGATCT